GTTGTATTATATTGTTTCGTAATTTACTTTCATAATTTAGTTTCATAATTTACATATAGTAATCAGTTAGTGCCCCAGGCATCTAACTATTTAGGTAAAAGAGTCTTTCTGAATGAAACTATATTGACAGTGTAAGTTAGTTTGTCTTTTATATCCCTAATTGTGTCTTTACTTTACAGCCGCATTCACCTCACACATGAGTGTAGCCCTATCATCAAAGCACACGTATTTGTAGCCCCTTCACCAAAACACACATGTATTATGTGTAGCCCCATTCACCTAAGCACACATGAGTGTAGCCCCATCACCAAAACACACATGTATTATGTGTAGCCCCATTCACCTAAGCACACATGAGTGTAGCCCCATCACAAAACCACACGTATGTATAGCCCCATCACCAAAACACACGTATGTGTAGCCCCCATCACCAAAACACACGTATTTGTAGCCCCCATCACCAAAACACACGTATGTGTAGCCCCATCACCAAAACACACGTATGTGTAGCCCCATCACCAAAACACACGCATGTGTAGCCCCATCACCAAAACACACATGAGTGTAGCCTCATCACCAAAACACACGCATGTGTAGCCCCATCACCAAAACACACGTATGTGTAGCCCCATCACCAAAACACACGCATGTGTAGCCCCATCACCAAAACACACGTATGTGTAGCCCCATCACCAAAACACGTATGAATAGCCCCATCACCAAAACACACGTATGTGTAGCCCCATCACCAAAACACACGTATGTGTAGCCCCATCACCAAAACACACGTATGTGTAGCCCCATCACCAAAACACGTATGAATAGCCCCATCACCAAAACACACGTATGTGTAGCCCCATCACCAAAACACACGTATGTGTAGCCCCATCACCAAAACACACGTATGTATAGCCCCATCACCAAAACACACGTGTTACGCCCATGACCCATCTACCACCAGCCGACACGAGATGACGAACAGAGAAACAATGTCGGGCAACAGATGTTTTTATTGAACCGGGCAGACGGCAACCGGTATTGGATGTTTTGTTCTATCAGTTGTGTACACTCGCCGGTTTTAACCAACTGAGGGAAATTATGGATGTGTTTGTCTGATCTTTTTTGGTGGTAAGATTTTGGGGTAGGCTAATTAACGAAAGCTTTGAAATTTTACATAATCATTGTTTTTTTCCAGACTTTTTTCTCCGGAGTGGCACTCGAAATTTTCGGGGGAAAAAAAAGACAACACCATTACTATCAATCTAGCGCCCGTTGTATCTCATCGGGCCATTTATCTCGTATTTAAAGAAAATCCTATCTTTTCTTCTTTATAGTGCATTATTTTATATTAAAGATTGTAATTAAAATAGTTTTTATCAATTGTTTAAAATGTCTATTAGATGTTGTGATTAGATCGACTTTATAGTAGCGGCTATCAAACTGTTCTGCATTTTCTAGTGCCTTTAAAACAGTCATTGGAAACTGGATTACTTCCCCTATTCATTGTCCCTTGTATTTGATTGGTAGATATAAAAGGTTTTACATAAGAGATAACCCCACTTCCTCATTCAGAATAATGGACTCGGGGTAGAAGTTTAATTTTCTTCTCAGTAACAGCTATGGGCTATTTATTTTATGTAGGTAACTATGACCTTGACCTTTCACAGCCTACAATGATTAGAATGTCAACGTCGTCATATCAGGTTGTATAATTAAGTGACCACTAAAACTATTGTTGAGTTCTGGACTACAGACCTGTGTCAAGGCTTCTGTCAATACAACTAAAGAAAGAGAAATCCAACTTTGTGACCAATTTCACAACCGGTTATACCAGCTTTTGTTCGAAGGATCAGCAGGCTAAATCAGCCCCCCCCCCCTCCTTTCCCACCACACCCACACACTAATTCCCACCACACCGCAATCACAATAAGCATCTAACCAGCCATAACTAGGCGTCAAGTATAATAGCCAGCTATTTCAATGCCTTCAAAGCGCGTACATTCCAACAGCTATGTAGCCGTCGGTGAGGACTGAAGCGCAGAAAGAATGGATCAGTGTCTCGGGTTATGGCAGGATCGTGACTTGATAGATGGGGGACAAAAGGGTTCGGTAACCTGAAGGTCATACAACTCTTTGGGGTGATTGTGTGGGTAGACTGTGCGGGGTGGGTGTGTGGGTAGACTGTGCGGGGTGGGTGTGTGGGTAGACTGTGCGGGGTGGGTGTGTGGGTAGACTGTGCGGGGTGGGTGTGTGGGTAGACTGTGCGGGGTGGGTGTGTGGGTAGACTGTGCGGGGTGGGTGTGTGGGTAGACTGTGCGGGGTGGGTGTGTGGGTAGACTGTGCGGGGTGGGTGTGTGGGTAGACTGTGCGGGGTGGGTGTGTGGGTAGACTGTGCGGGGTGGGTGTGTGGGTAGACTGTGCGGGGTGGGTGTGTGGGTAGACTGTGCGGGGTGGGTGTGTGGGTAGACTGTGCGGGGTGGGTGTGTGGGTAGACTGTGCGGGGTGGGTGTGTGGGTAGACTGTGCGGGGTGGGTGTGTGGGTAGACTGTGCGGGGGCAGTAGCGTAGCGAGAGGGGGGGGGGACATATGTCCCCGGGCGCCGACCTTAGGGGGCGCCAAAATGGGTTTGAAAAATAAATTGAAAGGTGAGGGAGGTGCAAATCGAAAGTTTGAGGGGGGGGTGCAAATCGAAATCTCGAGGGGGGTGCAAATCGAAAAGTTTGTCCCCGGGCGCCGGGAAGGGTCGCTACGCCTCTAGTGCGGGGTGGGTGTGTGGGTAGGGCTCTCAACTTTGACGATAGGAGTGACTATGTGGGTATGTCTATTCATAGGGCTTTTTACACCCTGACCTGCCGAGAAACTGATGGTTAATGTAGGCCCTACAAAATACGTGTCTAAATTTCAATGTTATATTTTTCAAAAATTATAATAGTAATGCTTTCATCAGTTCGTGTTAAAATATCAAATCTAACATTTGAATTATAATTAACTCTTGAAAGATTGGCGAAAACGGTCGGAAGCAGCTTCACAGTGCGTTGTTTCTTGCAGAAGTGACCCAGTCCACTTGGCTGTGGTACACAGTGCCACCTACCCAGAGGCGTAGCGAGGGGGGGGGGCGGGGGGTGAGGACCGCACCGGGTGACACCATATAGGGGGGTGACACCAAGGCAAAAAATAGCAAAATATATAGAGAAAAATTTGAGGGGAGGGGTTCAAATCGAAAGTTTGAGGGGGGGGGGGTGCAAATCGAAAGTTTGAGGGGGGGTGCAAATTGAAAATTAAACGTTTGTCCCCGGGAAGAGTCGCTACGCCTCTGGGGGGTGACACCATTAAGTGCCGCACCGGGTGACACCCGACCTCGCTACGCCACTGCATCTACCGGCTATGTTAACTTAAAGTTAACAAACCAGCTGGTACATAATATCTGTGCTAAAACGGCCAAACACCGCGTGAAAACAATGGCTGTCGACACCGGGGTAAATAAACTCACGTCGACACGGTTGACTGAGCACCTAGACCCTTCTTAATGTCGATGTGTTGACAATGACCTCTCCCTCCTCCCCCCTCCCCTTCCACAAAAGAATGGTAAGCTTGTAAGAATAAAACCAGCTGAAGGTTGTTGTTCTGTGGTAAGCCTTGACCTTGGCATTAACTGTGATCCGTCCGTCTCCCTCTCCCCCATACAAACATATGATGTATAACATACGAGCTTAAATAAAGTTAGCTAAACCACCATCTTGCCATTCGTAACAAGCAGTTTATATTTTTAACATACACAGAACTGATGAACAGTTAATGTTCTTGACAAACTTAAAACGGACTCATTATAATAATTATATTCTTGACAAACACAAACAACCCATTTATATTCAGACAAAAAAAAGACATGTTTATATTCTCAAGAAACACTTAACGACCTGTTTATACTTTTGACAAACTTGCACTGGAAATAAACACACCACAATCAAGGCGTCCAACTACTCACGATTCGTTGAGTAGGCCTTCAGCAAAAACGGTTCATTCATCAAAGGAATCGTCTGTTTCAAGACTCAGTCAACGATCTATGATTTAAAAATATTGTACTCTATAGCAAGTTATGTCTGTCCTAATGGTGTATTCGTTCAGAGTGCCATTTCTTTAGCTCATCATTGAGTGTGTTTTATGATGCCTTCATTGTGTAGGGTGCAGTTCTAACATTATAATTATGTGAGTGAGTTATTTAAGAAACATTGTACACACTAGTCTGAGGTTACTAAACTCACGTGTACTTGTGCAGTATGGCGTAGCCAGGAATCGGTTATGGGAGGGGGGGGGTCCTTTATTTAAAAGAATAGTGAACAAACACATGTCGGCATGTAGCGATTATTTCTTACAAGTTTAATGACACTATAAAGATACAACATCAAATATTTACCTACACCATTTTGATTTATGGGGTTAGGATAGAACGGGGTTCGGATCTAGCAAGACACTAACTAAACCCCCTTGCTAAATCTGAGACTTGAAACTGTGCCCCATTGCCTAAAGTACTAAGAACCCCGCTATAGCCTGTGTGAGAGTCCCTGTTGTTGAAATATGACGCTTGTTTTGACGTAACAAAACTCTCGACGGTAACGCCCATCAACATGCGGTAGTGGGGGACACTTGGGCCCACACTTGACAAAATGGACCCGCCCCCTAACTTTGACTTGAGCGCGTTCAGAATATCAGATCATAGTTCACAGTGGGAACTTGGCGGCGCAGTCGACTGGCGAGGTATGTGCGTGATTTATTTATGTAGAGTTACTATAGTTTTATTTTTTTATTTTTTTCTAGCTAGTTGACCATAACATAGCCCACAGCACTGTTAGTAAAATATTTTAAATTTATTTGCGTTAACTTTGGTTTCATTTGTTATTGTCACGTGATATCGCTGTTAAACTGTTAAGGAGATAAGTGAACATTATGTAGGTCAAATGTAAAGGAATGTCAACCGAATGTTGTGTGTCAGGCTGGTACGTCACTGCACGCTCCACACATGCCCAGTGTGTAGCTGGTCACCACGGAGAGATTACATCGGCCGTGTGGGCCCCAGAACAGAAGGGTGAATTATTCCAATTACTTCCTGGCCATTCGTTCATTATTCAGGAGTTTCTAACATTAGCCAGCGGGTTTCCCTTCTGTGGGAATTTCTTCTGGGTTATACACACACATTTGTCATATGTATGTGTGTACGTGTGTTTGTGGGATACATGGACGCTAGGTTTGGATAGTGGTGACAAAATAAAAACTTTCAATATCTTTCTTGATTCACGGAGTTTATATATGTGGTAATCTTATTAAATTAAGTTTCCTGTTATATTCTCTCTCTCTCTCTCTTTATATATATATATATATATATATATATATATATATATATATATATATATATATATATATATATATATATATATATATATATATATATATATATATATATATATATATATATATATATATATATATATATATATATATTATAGGCTATATATATATATATATATATATATATATATATATATATATATATATATATATATATAATTAGGGCCCTATAGGCTATATATATATATATATATATATATATATATATATATATATATATATATATATATATATATATATATATATATATATATATATATATATATATATATATATATATATATAATATATATATATATATATTCATATATATTCACATAAATAATGTGTATTATATATATATATATATATATATATATATATTATATATATATATATATATATATATATATATATATATATATATATATATATATATATATATATATATATTCATATATTCATATATATTCACATAAATAATGTGTATTATATATATATATATCTATATCTATATCTATATATATATATATATATATATATATATAATATATATATATATATATATATATATATATATATATATGCTATAAATGAGCTATATTTATATACATTTATTTGTGTAAATACATAGTCTACGTTCATTAAATTAAGAGAGATGGTGCGCGTATTCTGTTTCTGTAACGCAAACATAGCACATTTATAATAGGCATTTAATGTTATATAAACCACGTTATAGATCAACCATTATGGCACACAATTATGTTACCCACATACCACATCTGTCATGAACTATGACACAGTTTGGTAGCACAAAATACTGGCTTTTCAAAAATAATTTGTAGGAAACACGTAATTTTAGAGATAATCGCGTTAATCATTATTAGAAGAAATTATATTGAGTTCAAACAAAAAACGCGTGTGTATACCAGTGCTATCAACATATTCACACAAACATTAAAAATATCACAATTTAAAATTAAAAACCCAAATATATTGATATATCTGCACAGCACTATACCACTACCCTACCCTTTACAATACAAAGTAATTACTAATACAATAAAAAACCACCATTACCCATTTGTTCTATATCTGTTGACGATTCCTTACAAACGTTACTCTTTGAAATGTAGCGAGAGATGGAACCACAGAGGGACAAGCATGCAGGATTCCTGTCGTCTGCTGCCACAGGTGCCAGACTCCAGGCGATCGTGTCGTCCAGTGATGACGATGCTTGTGACGATTACGTGGACGGCGAGACGGAAGTAGATCCAAGAGTTAAGGTGAGAATAGCATCATTCTTATGACCCTGCCCCCACCCAATAGTTTATTAAATATTAAATAACGTCAGTTCTCTATGACTTGAAATGCGTCTTTTTATAGAGGTCCTACAATTGTAAATTTTCTGTTACAAAATAAATCAACACATAAATGCAAAATATAAACGTTGTTCTTATTTAATGACATCAATGAATGCTCGTTAAATTTAGATTTTGATTAGAATCTCTTAATTAAAAGTGCACTTCTAGTGGTATGTAAGTGGTCGTCCATTTATGACGTCACGCTTTGTTAATTTTTTTTTTTTGTGCCCGATTCCTCGTCCCAAAAACTCAGACCCCATATAATGACGTCACATTTTCAGCCCCACCCCCTTCTCTTAAGAATAGCAACTGTACTTTTTTTTTTTAAAAAAAGCAATTTTCCAAAAAAAAAAAACAACCCACGGTAATAAAAAAACGAAATAATACAGTTATAAGTTGCTAGGTATAGTTTGTCAAAACCTTGTTAATCACAATTCAGTTTAATTTTATCTAATTCTAATAAGACTATATACAAGATCACTGTTATCACAATTGACTTCTTAGAGTATTTTTTACATCGTCTACCTCCATTCATCCTATATTGTAAATCCCCTTGTCCTACACCTAAGGACTGTGAAGCCTGACACTTTATAGCAGGTACCCATGGCCCATGTATGCGATCATCATTGGAAGACTTCCATGACAATATTACCACATGACATAGTTGTCATTATAATGATAGTAAGGGCAAGTTGGTTAAGAGTGTACAAATATATTTAAGTAATAAGATATCCCACCTATCTGTACAACATTTAACATTCAACATTACTTAAGAGTGTACAAGTATATTTAAGATATCCCACCTATATGTACAACATTCAACATTACTTAAGAGTGTACAAATATATTTAAGATATCCCACCTATATGTACAACATTCAACATTACTTAAGAGTGTACAAATATATTTAAGATATCCCACCTATATGTACAACATTCAACATTACTTAAGAGTGTACAAATATATTTAAGATATCCCACCTATATGTACAACATTCAACATTACTTAAGAGTGTACAAATATATTTAAGATATCCCACCTATATGTACAACATTCAACATTACTTTAGAGTGTACAAATATATTTAAGATATCCCACCTATATGTACAACATTCAACATTACTTAAGAGTGTACAAATATATTTAAGATATCCCACCTATATGTACAACATTCAACATTACTTAAGAGTGTACAAATATATTTAAGATATCCCACCTATATGTACAACATTCAACATTACTTAAGAGTGTACAAATATATTTAAGATATCCCACCTATATGTACAACATTTAACATTACTTAAGAGTGTACAAATATATTTAAGATATCCCACCTATATGTACAACATTCAACATTACTTAAGAGTGTACAAATATATTTAAGATATCCCACCTATATGTACAACATTTAACATTACTTAAGAGTGTACAAATATATTTAAGATATCCCACCTATCTGTACAACATTCAACATTACTTAAGAGTGTACACATATATTTAGATATCCCACAGATCTGTACACGCCCGCAGCAAAATTAGGACGTCTTGTGACCCAAATAATAAATCACAGCTGATGGATTATGATTAGTTTAATCCACCGGAATTGCCTCTAAATTTATTTTTCACGTGTTGTCAATCAATTTAAAATATAAGACATAATGTTAAAAAAAAACAGAAAAAGAAACTGTTTCGATTCTAAAATTAACTTTCTGTGAATAATTAGTGGTCGGGTAATTTTTTTTTCTCCATATTTTCCGTCTAGATCTTTAAAACTATTAATAATTTATAACTAAATTTATTTTCAAGAAAAATTAGCGTTGTTTGCTGTGAAAAGACCACAAAGACTTAACTAAGTAGAGGGTGGGGCGGTTTCTGCATGAACCTTCTAGAATAGCTTCATTGTTTACAGTTGTACATCATGTCAGATCAACCGTAGCGTGCATGAGAAACAGGTTCAGTGTATTAAACAGGTTCAGTGTATTTGGTACTTTAAATAGGTTCAGTGTATTTGGTACATTAAACAGGTTCAGTGTATTTGGTACATTAAACAGGTTCAGTGTATTTGGTACTTTAAACAGGTTCAGTGTATTTGGTACATTAAACAGGTTCAGTGTATTTGGTACATTAAACAGGTTCAGTGTATTTGGTACATTAAACAGGTTCAGTGTATTTGGTACATTTAACAGGTTCAGTGTATTTGGTACATTAAACAGGTTCAGTGTATTTAACAGGTTCAGTGTATTTGGTACATTAAACAGGTTCAGTGTATTTGGTACATTAAACTGGTTCAGTGTATTTGGTACATTAAACAGGTTCAGTGTATTTGGTACATTTAACAGGTTCAGTGTATTTGGTACATTAAACAGGTTCAGTGTATTTAACAGGTTCAGTGTATTTGGTACATTAAACAGGTTCAGTGTATTTGGTACATTAAACAGGTTCAGTGTATTTGGTACATTAAACAGGTTCAGTGTATTTAACAGGTTCAGTGTATTTGGTACATTAAACAGGTTCAGTGTATTTGGTACATTAAACAGGTTCAGTGTATTTGGTACATTCAACAGGTTCAGTGTATTTGCTACATTAAACAGGTTCAGTGTATTAAACAGGTTCAGTGTATTTGGTACATTTAACAGGTTCAGTGTATTTGGTACATTAAACAGGTTCAGTGTATTTGGTACATTCAACAGGTTCAGTGTATTTGGTATATTAAACAGGTTTAGTGTATTTGGTACATTAAACAGGTTCAGTGTATTATACAGGTTCAGCGTATTTGGTACTTTAAACAGGTTCAGTGTATTTGGTACATTAAACAGGTTCAGTGTATTTGGTACATTCAACAAGTTCAGTGTATTTGCTACATTAAACAGGTTCAGTGTATTTAACAGGTTCAGTGTATTTGGTACATTGACTTATCGCATAAAACACAAATTACGTATATGTGTACAAAACACTAATTCCATTTTCCAGAACAACTATTGTACAACACATATATGCCACATGGCATGAATCCCACCGTCTACTTCTGTATGTACAGAACCAACTTTTCCCTTGTATGTACAACAACATAATCCAGTCTCTTTTGTTTATTGTTAGTATTTTTGTTTTGCTATTTGAATGCAGCTGATAAGACTCTAACAATGGCAGATCTGATTCCTAATCTTTTGCTTAATTTTTTTTTCATCTGAATAATTTAGTCAGCCGTCTGAGAATGTGATATCTTGAAATAATTACGCAATACCGATATGAGCCCCTTAACATTTTAACGAACATTTTTGTAAGTTTAGTCCCCCGCATCACTATAAAATAAGTATAAAAAGAAACACTAAACTTTGTAATCGTGATGGAAACTATTTGTCCAACGGCTGAGCTTTTAAATGGTATACAGCAGTGGCGTCTCAAGGGGGGGGGGGGGGTTCCAATTTTTACCCGGGGACAAACTTTCGATTTGCACCCCCCTCAATCTTTCGATTTGCACCCCCCTCAATCTTTCGATTTGCACCCCCCCCCTCAAACTTTCGATTTGCACCCCCCCCCCCTCAAACTTTCGATTTGCTCCCCTCCTCTCAAACTTTCGAGTTAACCCCCCCCCCCCCTCATACTTTATATATCTATACCGAGGGGTCTATGGGGGGGGGGGTTATGACCCCCCTAACCCCCCCCCCCTTGCCTACGCCACTGGTATACAGGACAGGTGAGACTGCAAGGTTAGACCAAACAGCTGGTGACTTTATCTGTGAGCTGGCGATAACACTCAGCACACGATCCAAACTTAGATTAGCCATGACGTAACTGTCAATCTGAGAAGACTTATAGATAGACCTATATCCTTATCAGCGATGTGCTACTTCTCACAGTGGTTGTCGCTTTATACTAGTAGGTCTAGTGTGGTAGGCTTGTAGGTTTATAGCAGGGGTCTCCAAACAAAAGCCCGCGAGGCCCCCTTTCATCCGACCCATGGAGATATTTCTGTCTAGAGAAAAAAAAAAATTCGGAAATCTCAGGTCACTGTTAATGTTAGGGACATCAAATCTAAAGCCAGAAATGTCTGCTATTCTGGCATCCAGGAATTATTTTCACCATTCCCACAAATACAGGTGTTCATGTGTAGTAGTTTTGATTCTTTTTTATTTGGATCTCAAGTGTGTTCTCGTCCCCCGAACTTCTATTTGATAGTTAATACGGCCCAAGTGTTTCTCCCAGACTTTTTTCTTTTTTCTTCGGGGGGGGGGGGGGGGGGGGGGGGGGGCTTGAAATTTTCGGGGGGGGGGGGGGGGTAGACTTTCTTCGGAGAGGGGGGGGGGTGGCGGACACTGTTAAAAGTATATATTTTCTATATAAATTTTTCGTTCGGGGGGGGGGGGGGCGGTAGACTTTTTCGGGGGACCCCCCCCCCTGAAGAGATGCCTGGAAGAAACCCTGTACGGCCCTAGGGCTGAAAAGTTTGGAGAGCCCTGGTTTATAGGATGGTAGGCTTATAAGATGGTAGGTTTGTAAGGTGGTAGGTGTATAGGGTAGTAGGTTTATTGGGTTGCAGGTTTATAGGATGATAGCAGGTTTGTAAGGTGTTAGGTTATGGGGTGGTAGGCCGTGTAGGCATATTGTTCTACCTCTAGCCTTAAGACAGTTTCTCCTTGTTGAAAGTCGTTGCAAGGAAGTTAGCTTAGATTCACGCAAGCAGGTTTACGACACAGATAAACTTATTCAGCCATGAAATAAACCCTTATCTTTTCTGTAGCCAATATTGACGCTATTTGTTGAAGTTTTTAACTCGTTAAATAAAAATATCTATACCAACGTACATTATATCCCTAGCAAACCTATGTAAAATAAACATACATATCCATACAAGCAGAAACGATGTGAATATGACTTCTGATGTCTTGCTTTAGAGGTGTTTCTTTAAGACGTTTTATTCGAAGAGGTGAGGTGTGCACTGAAATTGTGGAGGAGGAGGGGGGGCGCACAAATTTCCTCTGGGGAGGGGGTGGATACAAATTTAAGTATTTAAACCTACTTTCTGTACGAAGCCCATAATTGGCAGAGTACTTGTATTGTACTTTCGTGAGACTTTAGTCCATCTTACCCACAAATAGCCAATAATTAGGCCTAATCATCAGGTTTAAGGCATCAAGCTTCAGCCTGCAAACGTTGGCTACAAACCAAATTACTTTAAATTTCATTATTAACGAGCTATCTATTAAACACAAAAGACATCGTAAATACGTAATTAAAATGCCTTAAATGGTCTAGCTTCTAGTATAGCTGCTTTAATTCAAATGCAAGTCACTGTAAATAATTTTAAAATGTTGACCTATACTAGTAGTGTTTCTTTCAGAATTTTTTCTTCGGGGGTGGGGAGCACTTTAAACTTTCGGAGAAGGGGGTGAGGGGCATTGGTAAAAGTATATATTTTCGAAATAAATTCTTTTTCGTTCGGGGTAAGGGAGGAGCCCCCTCCCTCCCTCCCGCCCCCCCCCCCCCCCCCGAGCACCCTCCCCCCGAGCACCCTCCCCCCGAGCACCCTCCCCCCGAGCACCCTCCCCCCGAGCACCCTCCCGAGCACCCTTCCCCCTCCCCTGAATAGCCAACATAACCTCCGCAACTAAATGCGCAGGTACTTGGTGCGGTTACGGACGCGAGACGCATACAGTATTCTATTGTTAGTGCTAAAGTTGTAGATGAATAGATTACACAGTAGGCCTTCGCTCACTCGCTAAATTCAAGGTCTGTTTGTACCGAACACCACCGTAAACACACTTGTTTTGACAGCTAGAATATGTAGGTCGAGTTTACCAGATCTACACACACTCTAGTGACTCATGCTTATTGACGGCCTTTAACATTCAATCGACTATTTGAATAAACCAAAACAACACCTGGACCGGCTTGCTAAATCTGATTCTTTACATTATGAAATGCCTAACACTATGTTTTTCTCTACTTTTATGTCAATAAATAATTTACGGTGAAAAAAACCGCTTGACTTTAAAAAAAATTAGATTAATTTAATTAGATAGCAGCAATGGTTCAATTTAAAACCTTTTATCTAATAACTTAATTCTAATGAGTTACAGAAATGCTAAATTAAGTAATTACTTAGATAGATGAATTTTTGTTGAATATTAATGTTGATTGTAACCGAGCTTTAAAAATTATAATTTCAGATTGAATTAGATATTTTAAATCAGTCCGCGTCAGACGTCAACTGTTTAGAGAAAGAAATAGATGTAAGTATGACAGAATTATGGACCATTTTGGTAACATTACAGCTTGCATCAACTAGGCCCTCCCCAGGTTGGAATCGATTGAGTAACCATTGTCCCACGTGAAAGATACAGGTGCACACACACACACACATACACACACACACACACACACAGACCATAAACAACTTCAATCGATCTTTCAACGATACATATAAACACATCAGTAGGGGTGGGAGTAATATACACGTGTTATGCACAACATATGATCTCACTGCGTTACCCACTCTTAGATCCACCCTCCTAAACACTCTTTCAGCGGATGTGCGTGTGTGTGTATGTGTGTAGGTGGGAGAGGGGGTAGGGAGTAATTAACGTAGGACCATATGGGACAATGCATTTGATAAAATCGACCCGCAAATTCCTAACACCTTGGCCTCTTAAAATAAAAATTCTATTTACATTTCTTAGATGTGCATTTTTTCCAGAAAAAAAAAATGGTTCCGTACATCAAAAACTAGTTTATATTTTACATATATTTTTTGTATTCGTTTGTTTGTTTTAAATATTAAGATAATAATAAAATCACCCACAAGCAAATACCCGACTGTAGTATAAAAAAACTGGGTTGACAGTTTTCTGAATAGAATACTAGTATTAAGTTAGCACTTTGGAGTCCATTAATTACCCCAACCCACATCACCCCCCCCCCCCCATATAGCAGGACATTATTCGTGTTATTTGATGAAAATTCTGCATTTCCCGGGGCGTGCATATGGACGTTATTAATTAGTGGTGGTGATTAGTTTATGAGAACGAACGGGGGGGGGGGGGTACTCAATATTATTGCTTTTTTGTGTGGAAGCCATGAATGACCCCATACACAAAATGAATGACCCCATACACACAAATGATGGACCCCATACACAAAATTAATGACCTCATACACAAAATGAATGACCCCATACACAAAATGAATGACCTCATACACAAAATGAATGACCCCATACACAAAATGAATGACCTCATACACAAAATGAATGACCCCATACACAAAATGAATGACCCCATACACAAAATTAATGACCCCATACACAAAATAAATGATCACACGAACAAAGTAATGGACCCTAGAAATAGATCACACCATTTTAAAATTAGTTACCAGTGGTCATTAGGAAGCAACTTTTACGTCCACTTTGTAATACGTGTGGTTTCTAAAACTCGTGTCCCACCACCCCAATGCCCAGGAGGCCCGAGGGAAGTACCAGACGACCTTCACCGAGTGCACCCACCAACTGGAGACGCTGAAGAAGAAGTACGGTGCCAGCATCAAGCGGGCGAGGCCGTACTTTGAACTGAAGGAACGGGCAAAGCAGGTTGTTCTGAGATTTCATTTTTTCATCTCTGATTCAATGTCGTTATAATGTTGTTTGTATTGCTTGTTTTTTTTTCTGTAGTTTATGCTTTTTATTTACACTTTTATTTATATATTTATTTATACTGGTATTTGTGCTTTTTATACTTGTTTTGCTGTAGTTTTGTTGTAGTTTTATACGTTTGCATATACTTCTGTTTATATTGTTATTAATTTATGTTGTTTGTACTGTTGTTTTTACTGTTGTTTTTTTTTACTTTTGTTTTTTACTGTTGTTTTTTTTTTTACTTTTTTATACTGTTGTTTATACTGTTATTTTTTATGTTTATACTTTGGATTTCATTTGGAGCAGGGAGCATATCACCTTTTCTCCATAACTTTAGCAACATATTACATAACAAGCTACTGTTCTCATTAGTTTAGTTAGATCCACTACCATAGCAGTAACCAATCATCAATGACCACATGTGTATTCCCTTACCTCAGGCACAGTGTGAAGCTTTGAGATCTGCCAGAAAGTTCCAGTCCGCCAACAGCGTGTACCTGGCAGCTAAAGAAACGATCTCATTGGCTGAGCTCCGGTTGATGGATGACAAGACTGTCAGCCTATCTAAGGCCTGGCAGGAGATGCTCAATCATGCTGTACTCAGGGTAGGACATTGTGACACGGGGGGGGGGCATTGTGACCGTGGGTAGGACATTGTGGCTGTGGGGGGGACATTGGGTAGGACATTGTAACAGTGGGCCAGGACATTGTGACTGTGGGGAGGACATTGGGTAGGGCATTGGGTAGGACATTGGGTAGGACATTGGGTAGGACATTGTGACATTGGGGAGGACATTGTGACCGTGGGGAGGACATTGTGTAGGACATTGTGACCGTGGGGAGGGGGGTAAGGGGGACATTGTGACGGTGGGGAGGACATTGGGTAGGACATTGTGACATTGGGGAGGACATTGTGACATTGGGGAGGACATTGTGACATTGGGTAGGACATTGGGGAGGACATTGGGGAGGACATTGTGACATTGGATAAGACATTGTGACAGTGGGCCAGGACATTGTGAAAGTGGGGAGGACATTGTGACATTTGATAGGACATTGTGACGGTGGGGAGGACATTGGGTAGATATTGTGATTTGTTTGTCTCAGGGTAGGCCATTATGACAATGGGGAGGACATTGTGACATTGGGGAGGACATTAGGTAGGACATTGTGACAGTGGGCCAGGACATTGTGAAAGTGGGGAGGACATTGGGTAGGACATTGGGTAGGACATTGGGTAGATATTGTGACATTGGGGCAGAGGCGTAGCTAGGGGGGGGCGGGGGGGGGGGCGGCCGCCCCGGGCGCCGACCCTATGGGGGCGCCAAAAGGGGTGGGAAAATTTTTTTAAACCTTATTTTATGCTGCAGTTTTGAATTATAAACTGTCTAAGTTAAGAAATGTAATGGCTACACGCATTTACATACTGATTTAACTGTTTTCTATCTTGATTTCTTAATGTAAAACATATACTCTTAAGAAACAGTGACCGGCAAAACCGCTTTGAAGCTTTTCCTAGATGGGGGGGGGGGGGCGCTTTTTCGAGACTTAAAACGGAAGAATTTACACTAGATTGTTGAGTCGATAAACGTTACCACTATTAAAAGAAACCAATTGTATTAAAACGTATTGTACGATTGTTGAACTGTAAAATACGTTAGTGACTTTTATCAAGATGGTGCAGGGGGGCGCTTTTAGGCTAAATAAAATAGCAAAATTACACAGGATTCTGAGTAAACAACCTTTAGCTCTTAGAAAGAAACGAATTGTACTGTGCATTGTATAATTGTGTAACATTTTTAAAAAAAAAGTTAGTTACGTTAAAAACCGCTCTACAAACTTTGTCCAAGATGGTTGTGATGAGTGTGTGTGGGGGTGGGGGGGGGGCGCTTTTTTCGCTAACAAAAATCGCAAGTATTTGTACTGGATTGGTGAGTAGATAACTCTCTTAACACTTAGTAAAGAAACCAAGTGTATTAACGCGTAATGTACAATTTCAATAGCCAGTTTTGTTAAAAAAAAAGACGCGACTAGTTCTTTGTAAGATTCTTACGATTCTCTCAACTTCAACGTGAGAGATCAGATACTTTTCCAGTGTTTCTTCCAGACTTTTTTCTCCGGGGGGGCACTTGAAATCTTCGGGGGGAGGGGGGAGGCGGTAAACTTTCTTCGGGGGGGGGGCGGACACTGTTAAAAGTATATATTTTCTAAATATAAATTATATAAATTTCATTTCGTTCGGGGGGGCGTAAAAATTTTTCCGGGGGGCTTCGCCCCCCCGAAAAGATGCCTGGAAGAAACTGTGTGCGAGAAGGCAGGGCAAATCTGCGAAATCCAAGACTACGAGCTGTTAACATCCGTTGGATTCCAGTTTGTTTTCTCTAGCTTGTTTTGTCATACCATCAACCAATCAACGAAATACCCATGTCGTATTCATTCCAATGTGAACAATAAATATTTCTGATAACTTCTTCTTGTATGTCACTTGTGTGTCCTTACTCTAACAAACTTCGAATCCAACTATGTACCATATCACAACAGAGATCGTTCAAAACTAGAACATAAAAGGCTGGTCTAAACATATTAGCGTTAGCTACAAACTACCCTCTAACACAGATCAGGCTTATTTTTTTTACTGACATTACTAATCTTTCGCAAAAAAAGTTAAACGCATCTTAATGGGAATTAAATTGTCGTAAAGTTTTAAGGAATGAAAATCATACAATGTAATTATTAAACCTTGTCCGGACTGTAGCATACACGCTTACACACACGCTTACACACACAAATACACTCTTACCCACACACAAGCTTATATATAAACACACTATCACACACACATAATTATACACACACACATACATATATATATATATTATATATATATATATATATATATATATATATATATATATATATATATATATATATATATATATATATATATAAGCGGGGGGGGGGGCGCCAAATTGAAAGTTCGCCCCGGGCGCCGGGAAGGGTCGCTACGCCTCTGCATTGGGGAGGACATTGGGTAGGATATTGGGTAGGATATTATGACATTGGGGAGGACATTGGGTAGTACATTGGGTAGATATTGTGATATGTTTGTCTCAGGGTAGGCCATTATGACATTGGTAGGACATTGTGACAATGGGGAGGACATTGTGACATTGGGGAGGACATTGTGACATTGGGGAGGACATTTTGACATTGGGGAGGACATTGTGACATCCGAGAGGACCCGTTGGTCTCAGGATATGAAATAATTGTTAATTGCGATATATATGTTCACAGATGCTTTATCTTAACTAACTTTAGGAAATCTCAAAAAAAAATAGAAGTTGTTAGATAATTTAAATGTAATCTTAGAGAATATTATCAGGTGTTGACTTATATTAGTAAAATGTACACTTAGAGAATATTATAAGATGTAGAATTATATCGACTAAATTAGAGAGAAAATGTAACCCCTACAGGTAATGGAGGCAGAAACAGAGAAATCACTCAGCGAGAAGGAACATTCCAGGAGGGCGTCCATCTTTGCCGAGATGGAGAAAAGTTTGCAGGAACTGGAGAAGAAAAATAAAAGATCGATACTAAAAGCAAGGTTTGTTTCACACGATATTTTGGTTGGTTTTTTTTCACAAGATCGGTCACGTTTTCTACACGTCTGTTCTTTTCTTTCTCTCTAAAAATTATGCCACGTTGAACTTTTGGTCAATTTTGGATAGATAAAAAGTTGGAACCAGAATCTATTATTTTTTTGATGACTAAATATTTTATACACAAAAAGTGATACAACTGTTTCTATTTACAGAACATATTTTGAAACAAAACAGGAACTTGAAATCAAGCTACAGGTAAGACACAGTATAAGCCAAGCTAAAAAGCCTTTAATCCAGATGTGTTACCAAGTCTGAGAAACCAGAATAGATCATTAATCTGGCCATACAATACTTTCACGTGACCAGTTCAAGTTTGCAAATATATTTTATCATTAAATTTATATTATGTTAATAATTATACCCTAACCTTCTTAAAAACTAAAACTAAAAATACCTTTTTATTTTATTTCAAATCTAATTTTAAAAAGTACACCATGTTATAAAGTTTTAGAACCACTGTTAATCTTAATAAACGGATGTTTTGACGATTTTTTTGTGTCAATTTTTCAGCAAGTAAAGCTAGCAGTAGAAGATCTCCAGCAAGCAATGAAGGCAGCGAAACAAAAATATGCTGCAGCTTTAAGACGCTTGGAGCATATTTCAAACAGCATCCACGAGAAGAGGCGGAGGAACCTGATTCTAATGTACCCACGGGAGCCCGGGGTGGGGGCAGAGGAATCGTTTCAGATCTCAGGTAGGTCACTTTCATTTTGATACAGTGTTGTAGGATTTTTTTTTTTTTTTATTTTTTTTTTACCTATTCAGTTAGTATTGCCTCAAAGCAATTATTTGCAGCCTCTGACACAAGTCTTTGTTTTTACACAGTGTTGCCGTTTTTTCTTTAACTATCCAGGAATTATATTTCTGAGAAATAATTTAAAACTGATAAATAATTTAAAATCTCTAATACAATATAGTTTGTATACGCTATTATTACAGAATGTACACTAGAATGTAAGCTATATTTTGTTCAATATCCCACAGAACAAAAATTGCCAGCCCTGTTCACGGATGGTGATGGCTCTGAGTGTTACCATGACGACTACGAGCAGTTTAAAGAAGACTCCGACGACAACTCTATCGACAACGAGAGCGTGTTCCGGGCCAAAATTCTCTCCATCTCTTTAGACGAAGAAGACACCTCATTCATGTACAACAAACACACCAAAATGGCCAGACGGAGAACCCTCTCGCTGCCGCTGTTCCCAGACCTGACGAATCAAACAAATGACAGTTTACCGTCTGATAAAATCTTAGCGGGTGAGCAAGAATTCTGTGGTAAGTCCGTGCCTTATTCAGACAGGGCGGATTGCTCACCTCCCGATGGAGACTCTCTGAGCAGTGATAAGGACAGCAATTGTGAGAGTCCCTATTCACAGGATTGTGAAACGACAAAAACTTTGGCTGACTCTTCAGTAAAGGAAGTTAAAAATGTAAACTCTGAAAGTTCGAGCGGATCTTCACAGACAGAGGAGTTTTCTGAAGTGGCTTTAGTTGTTTGCAAGGACGCATTAAATACTGATCTCTGTTAGCTAATGTAATTTGTACATTTGATTAAATATGTACATTTTCTTAGTGTGTACACATTATAATATAAATGTGAATACATTTTATTGTTGAAATAGTAAATCTCAATTAGAGATTTTAAAAGATGAAAAATTAAGTATCAGGTAAGTCCAATTACCAATAATTGTTCTTTTACATTTTAGTAAAGATGTTTCAGTACTTTCAGCATTGCTCTTGAAGCAAACTCCTTCTATAGATATTTGATCTTTTCATTTGTTTGTTGAATGTGGTATTTTTGTTTACTTTCCAAACATTTACTTTTCAAATTTTATTTTCTGTTACATCACATTCCAAAGAAATTTATAAAATTCCACAAATATTGATATTTATACATACGGGATTATGCAATAAAAAAACGTTTATACAAAATGTTTTATTTTATTTTTGTTATATAAAATTACAAAATATTATGTAATTTTCTCGAAAAGCAGAATGAAAATTATGCTTATAAATTGTTCCATTGTTAAATAACATTCATTCTAATATTTAATTTTTAAAAATCCAAATTACCGATCAACAGTTGCCATTACAATACACAAATATAGCTACCAATGTTAATATAAACAGATGTGTTGTAAGCTTTGATTGGCTGTTGGGGGAATGAATCAACAACGTTGATGCACGATCCAGACTTCCGTTGTTGGGGGCGGGTTGGATCTGCAAAATGTGACAGATGAGAGGATAGATATCCACGGAGCGGATCGGAGACACGGTCGCCCCAGATTTAAAGGACGGCCCGCGGGCCACAAATATTGGCTTCATGCTCAAAAGTTCGTTGTCGTAACCATGGGAACCTCTCAGTTGACCCTTTCGTCTAGCACTTGCGTTCTGTATGTGGAGGGGAGATAAAAATAGTATTAGATGAAGAAAAATTAGCTGAAAATGAATTTCTGCATTTTTATATTAACGTAGAAGTTTAAATATAGCAGTCGTCAAAAGCCTGATTGAAATTATATGGTAATATGCCATGGATTAACCCAGATAATTTCTGAGTTTTCTTTCCTCTTGACATTAGCATTTTTTTTTTCATACTGAATAGCGACATGTACCAAATGATTTGTGATTCAAAAATTTAGTGGTCTACCAAAAAGAACTATCAATGGTCGGGGAGTTTATTATTTTTATATAAACTCCTTGATGCTGAACATAAATTGTCATAACATATCAGAAAAAAAATATTTAGAAATAATATTTGTATCACTTTTGTAGTCTTAATTTTTAAAAATAATACCCTGGTTACTTCCCTTTAAATATGGCCTTTTTCTCTTAAACGTAATTGTTGTTTTTTAGACTTAAAGAAGGTCCACCCCTCATCAGCGTAAAATGTTATTGTGATTTATAAGACTTACAGCAGAGATAGTCCACCCCTCATCAGAGTAAAATGTTATTGTGATTTATAAGACTTACAGCAGAGATAGTCCACCCCTCATCAGCGTAAAATGTTATTGTGATTTATAAGACTTACAGCAGAGATAGTCCACCCCTCACCAGAGTAAAATGTTATTTTATAAGACTTACAGCAGAGATGGTCCACCCCTCATCAGCGTAAAATGTTATTGTGATTTATAAGACTTACAGCAGAGATAGTCCACCCTTCATCAGCGTAAAATGTTATTGTGATTTATAAGACTTACAGCAGAGATAGTCCACCCCTCATCAGCGTAAAATGTTATTGTGATTTATAAGACTTACAGCAGAGATAGTCCACCCTTCATCAGCGTAAAATGTTATTGTGATTTATAAGACTTACAGCAGAGATAGTCCACCCCTCATCAGAGTAAAATGTTATTTGATTTATAAGACTTACAGCAGAGATAGTCCACCCCTCATCAGAGTAAAATGTTATTTGATTTATAAGACTTACAGCAGAGATAGTCCACCCCTCATCAACGTAAAATGTTATATTATAAGACTTACAGCAGAGATAGTCCACCCCTCATCAGCGTAAGCAAACACCGGCATGACCCTCCTGTTGTGTTTCAGATGGAAGCGGTCAGGTATGTTCTCCTTCAACATCACCTGCATGTGCGGGACGCCACTGAGGGCCGCCACAAGTTCAGCATCTTTGCCGGGCTGGGGGCGCATGTTACAGGTGGCGCCATCGTCTACCACAGAGTGGAGGAGTGAACTGTTCACAAGCTGGCTCAAGTCAATGACCTGAAACACGTGTTAAACTGGCTAAGTCAATGACCTTTAACGGTTAAACTAGAGTCAATGAACTTTAACACGTTAAGCTGGCTTAGGTCAATGACCTGAAACACGTGTTAAACTGGCTAAGTCAATGACCTTTAACTGTTAAACTAGCTTAAGTAAATGACCGTTAACTGTTAAACTAGATTAAGTCAATGAACTTTAACACACATTAAACTGGCTTAGGTCAATGGCCTTTAACACACGTTAAACTGGCTTAAGTCAATGACCTATGAACAAACTGGCTTAAATTGATGATATTAATATGTTTATCTTACTTGCTAAATTTAAATCGGGGCTCTTATTTCTTAAGCTAGCTGAAATCATTAAAATAATACTTAAATCATTAAAATAAAACTGAAATCATTAAAATAAAGCTGAAAAGTGAAATCATTAAAATAAAGCTGAAATGATTAACATAATGTAAAAGATGAAAATCCCAAAAGAACGTCACACACCAGGGGTTGGGGAGGTAGACACGTTTATGATAATTTGACAATTTGTGAACGGGTTTGTTCCATTTTTCAAACCTGACGTTTCATGGGGCAGGTGAAGTAGAATTCACCTGTTTCTGTGACCTCGGCATATGAATAGAAAGTGATGTGATCCTGAACGGGAGGGGTACAAGAAAAGTCTTGTAATATTTATTTTCATTCTACAAAATCCAGAGGATTTTTAAAAACCTTGCGATTTGCGTTACAATTAAGGTAATTAGCAATTGTATGCGTCTTAACACTAAAATTATTTAACCGGAACTTTATGGCGTGACGTCATTCAATGTCGACCCGGAATGAAAACAAAACGAAATACCCCCCCCCCCCCCCCCCTCATGAGATACGTCATGCTGTCAAGTGACGGTCGAGACAACACACGTCTGCATACACGTGTGTAGAATTTATATTGTGTGTCCGGTGTGTCTAGGACTAAATGTCGCATTACAGTCCCCCCCCCCCCTCCATGCCTGACCACAACCGGATGGCTCCATCCATGGCCGGTTACCTTTACTTGAATAACTATAATATACTTTAGACAAAAGTCCGCAATTTAGAGGCTTGCATACCCCCCCCCCCCTTACCCATACTGTACTAGCTGGGTGTTTGTTTCAAGATGCTTTATCAAGCAACATTTATGACCATTTACAACCTTAAGCACACCGTATCTCTTTACATCCGTGAACACTTACTGTCTAACCAAATACAATATTAACCACTTACTGGGGTTGAAAAGTAAAAAAAAGTAAAGTTCCCTGATAAAACCTGACGGTCTATAGGGCAAGTGAAGTAGAGTTTACTTGTTTCTGTGACTTCGGCATATGAAGTGTGGTCAGCACTATGCCCAGCCGCCTTTACTTTCCCTAACGTGAGTTAGCAGTCCAGCTCTCTACCGCTAGACCCCTGCGTCCCCCTTACCTGTTGACCATTTACAATCTTAACCACTTACTGTCTAACCATTTACAATCTTAACCACTTACTGTCTGACCATTTAAAATATTAACCACTTACTGTCTGACCATTTACAATCTTAACCACTTACTGTCTGACCATTTACAATCTTAACTACTTACTGTCTGACCATTTACAATCTTAACCACTTACTGTCTGACCATTTACAATCTTAACCACTTACTGTCTGACCATTTACAACTTTAAACACACCTTGTTTATGACGTCGACATTGGTCATCCCATGGTCACTGGTGACGATTAAGTTCACTTTTCCCTGTAAGGTAACATTTAGAAAAGCTGCAATCAAGACAGTAATTACTAATGTTACATCATTATCTTTATCTTTTCCCATTCGTGCCCATGACACATGGGGCAGATGAAGTAGAGTTCTTCTGTTTCAGGGAGCTCGGCATATGAAGGGATAGTGTGGTCAGCACTAGTAGGTACCCATCAGAGCTGGGTGGGCTCAGTGACATTATACTGACTTGAACTCGGATTCGAACTTTAGACTTTCGAGCTAGCAGCTCTCTACCGCTAGGGCACGCCGTCCCCCTAATGTAACACGTTAGACATTAAATGTATTGACACATCTCTTTAAATATTCCATGGTTGCAGGTCCCAGTGGGTTTGCTTTACCATGTAGATTTAATTTTTTCTATCTCTATTTACTCATGCCTTGCTCCTTTGTTTCCTCACCCACCGGCCACCCCCCCCCCCTTCCCTTCAATGCAAATACCCCATTCGTGACACATATACAGATGAAAGTAAACAAAGCTCCATGCTTAGGCCTATATGTTCATAACAGGTGAACAAAACAAGTACTTCCTGGTTTATGTGAAGTATCTTGGGTCATGAAATGTCATATATTAACATAAATTAGCAAGTTTTCAACGTTAAAATATTAATTGTGTTAACTATTACCTAAGCCTTGCACAACACTACTACTACACTATACATTGGTGTGGTTTTTTTTTAAACATAACTTTTTTGTAATTGATTCAACATAATACTCCTCAAACGAAACATTTCCAATGCACATAACAATACATAACAAATTTAACCTTTACATTAAAATATCAATATTAGTTTAAATTAATGATACTGTTCAGGATACAAACTTGATTTGAAAGCTATTTATTGCTTAGTACTTTGGATTATAATCTTGCAAATGATTTACAATTTTATGGTTTAAAAATCTAGGTTGCATAGAGCTATGTAGAATAGTAAATTTCATCTTTGTAACTTAAGTGATTTACGGCAAACCGAGATAATCTCTAACTGATAGCTTAGTTTCAATTTGCCATTCAAATATATTAACATCTTGCTCAATCAAAACATATATATATATATATATATATATATATATATATATATATATATATATATATATAGATATATATATAGATATATATATAGATATATATATAGATATATATATATATATATATATATATATATATATATATATATATTGTAATTTCTCTGGTGATTCAGCTTTAAATAACAGACCAGATTTTTTTGCAAAATATATATCAGATTCAAATCATCTTAAATACTAAATTGCTCAAACCTTATACACTCCCTATTCATAAAACAGGCTCATGGTGGGTGCGCATTGACGAGGTGAATACAACTTTTTTTTTTTAACTTTTAAAGCACTTTTCTTTTTTATTTCTTACCGTACATTTACTTAGAGGTTTTGATTAGACCGAAAACT